TTATTTTCTCTTTGCCGACCAAATTACAATATGGTGCTTCATGTGGACTTAGATTTGGATGTGATTTTTAGATTTTTTTTTTTTTTGGATACAATGGTGGCATTGAGGTTGGAATCTATAATCTCATACATAATATCCAAATCTCTCGTTACTAAACCAATCCTAATGACTTATAATTTATCAAATTTTAAATTCTTGTTTTGCAAATTTTGCTTAATGGATCATTATTCTATTTGATTCCAAATTTCTTGAATTAATTCGTTAATTTGTTAGCTCATGTGTAATGGGTGATCTATAAATCAAAATTATTTCTTTCAAAATTGTTTCTTACTTAACCTTTACCATTATAAAGTTAGTAAATCTTTATGCACAGAGATTTGCATAGCATTGAAAGTAATTTGTGATCACTTTGACTCTTACTTTATGTTTAGTCGATGACTAATGTCCCCAAGATAGAGCGAATAGGGTCCTGTTTTCCGATGAGCAAGTGAGAGAACAGGACTGTCCCACGCTCATTGATTTTGGGTGCATCAGGAATACATATTCCTTTCTCTAAACAAAATGGTAAGGGACTAAGGGTAGTAAAAAAATATTACTTTATCTATATTTAGTAAATGATATAGCGAGTACTAGATAGAACAAGAGTATTGAAAATATTTTCTCCCATTGAGTGCAAGGGACAGTCCATCGCAGGGACCTTGTACTGCTTTGAGCCCATTTATATATAGATTTTTTTTTTTTTATAACATTATATATAGATTTTATGTTTGTTATGTTACTTGACGCAATTTCACTTTTCTATACACCCACCTTTTTAATGTGTATGTAGGAAAATGAAATTGAATCATGTAACATTATAACATAACAAATATAAAATCCTTTATATATTCGTATAACTGAATATTTATAACGAGTAAGGTGAGAATAAAACATAATAAAATAAGGATAACCTTGCATTGCGGTGAACTGGATAAATAATGTCTTGACTTTGGAATTTTGGATTATGTGTGTGACTCTAACATCATCTTAAGACGGTTGGTGCACAACAAACTGTTGAACAAGTCCACGCGGAAGGTTTCAACTATATTTTTGGAACTGAATTTTTTTATGTATTAATTAATATAATCATAGGAAAAAAGATTTTTTATGTTGTATCAGAAATTTTTTCTTCTATCACTCTCACTTCGATATTTATATTAACCATTTTTTTATTTTTCTTTAAGGTATGTCTCACTTTTTTATTTCTCATTAGAAAAATTTCAACTTCTCATACATAAGAAATTATAAACCCATAATCATATTATATGGAATGATCCTAATTATTTATAAGTAAATCAACGATGATGATTTTATTACTCTCTATTCTAATTTATTTTTCTTTCATTTCTCATCATCATTAATTTACATATAAATAATTAGGATCTTCTCGCATCTATTAACCAGAATATCAATTCCCATATTTTTTTCTACTATTTTTGCTATTAATAGCATTCGTTATTAAAAATTCAAGATGTCAGAATTAGAAAATACTAAAATATAAATGACGTCATAAATGGAGGCCACCTACATTGCCCTTCAGAGTTCAGAGTTTGACGTGACCGCCGTTTGTTAATGGACCCACGTGTTCTATTAGTTAGCCCATAATTTAGAATATTAATTTTTTTTTAAAACATAATATAAATTTTTTTATATTAAAAATAGAAGAATGGTATACTTGCAATTTTTTATAACCTCTTACAACCATATCTTAACACCGTTGATTTTCGCCAATCAACGGTTATGATTTTTCCAAATTAAATTCATTAATTAATTATTAATTCACAATAAATGATAACTGTTGATTAGTGAAAATCATCGGTATTATGATATGGTTGTAAGAGATTGTAAAAAAAAAAGATTGTAAGTATAACATTCCTCATAAAAATAATACCCTATCTTTTTATTTATAACGTTAAAAAGAAAATAAAGTTGTTAAAAATAATATATTATTATATTTGTATTATAGAGTAACAGTAAAAAATCTAAAGAAATGTATTAAATTTTGCTTAATTTGCCTTTCTTTTTAAAATTAATTTTATATGTATAAATTTTAAATACACTAATTTTGAAATGTTAGTTTATTAATAAACGAATGGATGCTGGATTAGTGAACATATGCGTATACATTTTTATTTTGGTTAATTATGCTAATTACTTTAGACAAGATTGTAAAAAATAATATTATAGTAAAAATTGAATCGTTGAAATACGTACAAACTAATCCAAATATCGCCTTATCATATCACAATGCCGAAATAAAAAAATAAAAAAATAATAAAAAATAAAAATAGATACACAATATTAAAAGCATATGGGCAATGAGAGGGAACAATGATCATTTTGTCACGTTTAGACAAAAAAATTACCAGACTGCCACGTCAACAGTGAATTTTTCCAAAATGTCACGCGACATAATTCGCTACATAGTGTAGCGAATTATGCATGCAAGTAATTCGCTACACAGTGTAGCAAAATATGCCACGTCAGAACCAAAAATGCCACATGTCAAATTTTGAGAAATTCGCTACCCTATGTGATGTTTCTCGTATATATATATATATATGGGTTTGATGTTTCTCGTATTCTAGGAGATAAAATTATTTTTTACATATACATAAAACTGTGAAAAGAAGAGAGAGAAAAAGGTAACATGAGTCATACATACTTTTATGTGTGTGTACGAGATAATTTTATCTGCTATAATATGAGAGACATTACACCTTATATATATATATATATATGAAAAACAAGTCTCTCATGTTGCACACACACACACACACACGCACACGCACGCACACACACACACACACACACGCACACACACGCACACGCACGCGCGCAGGGGAGATTAATTTTACACCAGTATAAGAATAAGAGGTTACATCTAACGACTAATATATATAATAAATTAAAGCCATTAGATATAATAGAAATAACGTCCAAGATTGAGAGATTAACTTACACAGATATAAAATGATCTTGGTCTTATATATATAATGGAGGATCTTTTGACTCCAGTGTAAGATAAAGATATCTTATTTTTTATCCTAGCCATTGATTCTTGTCTATCTAACGACTGTGATTTATTGAAAATTAATAATTAATTAATGAGAAAAATATATATCCTTTTAAAGGATAGTCATTTTAGTTAAAACTAATATTTTTATTTAAAATAAAAATAAAAATATCTCCCACTTTTTTCATCATGATTTCTATTTCTCTCACCATAAAACACAGTAGTTTTAACTAAAATGACACAATTCTATATTCTTTAAAAAAACAAACACTTAATTAATTAATATAACTCAATAAACTATAACCGTTAAATAGACTTAAATCAACGGGTAAGATAGAGAATAAGACTTCTTAGTCTTATACTGGAATCAAAAAAATCCCTCCACACACACACACATATATATATATATATGGAAAAGATATTTATCCTTTTAATGACACAATTTTGTGTCATTTTAGATCATAACTGTTGATTTCCATCAATCAATAAGTATAATTTATTACAAATTACTAATTAATTAATAAGTTTCACCCAATAAATTATAACCGTTGATTGACAGAAATCAACGGTTAGGATCTAAAATTACACAAAGTTATATATTTTAAAAGGACAAATATTTTTCCATATATATATATATATATATATATATATATATATATATATATATATATATATATAGGGGGAGGATTATATTTACAAATTTTTTGTTTACAAACTCTTACAAACTACACTATATTCTCCCGGAAGAACACTAGGTTACTATATGTTCTCCCAGGAGTACATAGTGTAATTTGCAAAAATTTGTAAACAGATCATTCCTCATATATATATAATGGCGGACTTGTATGTATGCAAGTGTGTGCAAGTGTATACACAAATTTTTTGGGAAAAAAAAGAGTAAAATATATTTTGGGTATCAACAAAAATCACGGGATCCAATTTAATCCCTTAAAAAAAGTCGATTCGTGATCTCTTTAAATTTCAAAATAGACCCATGTTAGTCCTTTTGAGAGAATAATGTGGATCTTTTTTGAATTTCAGAGGAACAACGATTTTGATTGTCTGGATCTATTTTTGAATTCAGAGAGACCACGAGTCGACTTTTTTTTCCTAAGAGAGTAAATTGGGATCCATAATTTTTGTTGAGGATCCAAAATATTCTATTGTAACAGTTTAGTTGACTATTGATTACTTTTTTCTACGTTAGTTAAAGTTTTCTTTTCTTTTCTTGTTTATATTCTTTTGTATTTTAATATATTTAATTTTTTTGTCATTTATTCTTTTATTCTAAATATGCAGACATAAATAAAATTTTCTAGGTCTACCATTATATATATATATATATATATATATATATATATATATATATATATATATGAAAATGTTATATTTACAAAAATTTTGTTTACAAACTCTTACAAACTACACTATGTATGACCGGTCATACTTCAATCAAGAGTGTATGACCGGTCATATTTAGTGTAATTTGTAAAAAAAAAATTATAAATGGATCATTTCTCATATATATCGATCTCATTTGTATATATTAGGTAAATAATTAAATTATATCGATGTAGGAATAATAAATCTTATAGTCAATTTTTGTAGTTGATCATACTTATATCTTATTGCTCTAATTTGTTATTTAAGAAATTTATGCTTTCCTCCTTTCACAAATGAAATTGATAAATGAAAAAAAAGAGATTTGCAAGTATTAGCCACCTGTACCATCATAAACCCCAAATGAGCTAATCTATTTCCCCACTGTGCTAACCTATTGGTTTTAACAGCGACCTTTACCATATTTTAGTGTCACCAATTGGGTATATAAGGAAGAGAGGGGTTCCAAGATTGAGAATAAACAGAGCAACTCTGTTATGTAACTAACTATCTCTGAGTCACACATACACATACTCTCCTACACAAAAACTCATCCACACTTCAAATGGATTGTTCCTCCATCCTTCACTCATCAAACTCCTATTTCTCATCAGAATCTTCATTTGGGTCACCGGATTCATTCTCTTTGAACCTCGAGAATGATCACTACTACCTTCCCTTCAATGAAAACGACCCAGAAGAGATGCTTCTGTATGGCATGATCACATCCCAACAACAAGAACAACAACAAACAGTTGACACATGCAGTGTCAAGGAAAATAATGTGAGGGAGGAGAAGAAGACCTACAGAGGTGTCCGGCGGCGGCCGTGGGGGAAGTTCGCGGCGGAGATAAGAGATTCCACGAGACATGGCATAAGGGTGTGGTTGGGGACATTTGAAAGTGCAGAAGAAGCAGCACTAGCTTATGATCAAGCTGCTTTTGCTGTGAGAGGCTCTGCAGCAATACTCAACTTCCCAGTTGAGAGGGTGAAGGAGTCACTTAGGGAGATGAATTATCAATCTCATGATCATGATCGTGATGATTGGTGTTCACCTGTTGTGGCTTTGAAGAGAAAACACTCCATGAGAAGAAAATTGAGTGCCAAAAAGAAGAAAAACACAGATGTTAGGATAGACAATGTTGTTGTCTTGGAAGATCTAGGTGCAGAATATTTGGAACAATTATTGATGTCCTCTGACAATGATAATCCTAGTACTTGGTGAATCAAATTATAGAACCAATATCCAATCTATAATGTTGAGCCAAGCTATATGTTAATGTTGATTTTTTTTTTTTTACATCCTGTTCTTTTGTTTTTGTTTTTGTTATTTGCTTTTTTATTTTGGAAAAAATATTATTTGCCATAATGTCATGTTAAAAACTTAGAATGATCATATTTGGAGATAATTTAAGTCAGTCTATTCGGTTTTTCTTTTTCATTCTAATCCTAATCTATGTGTACTTTTTGTTTTTAACCTTTTTTTGTTCCTGTCTTTCGTTGTAAAGATGAAAAGATAAGGAATTACGGCAATTATGTTTAAATTAGGTAAGATTTGATTTAGCTTTATATAAGTCAACATGCATGGTCCAGTTTTGCACGGTTTTAGCCACGCCTGGATGCACATCGGGGTTTCTTATGCATTTTGGAAATCCTTTCGTCTTCCAAGTGTACGAGATTTTAAACTTATGGCATGGCAACAATTGTATGCAATATTTTATAGTAAAGCAAGAGCAAGAAATTAGTGTTATTATGTGATAATTTTATGTAGATGGTAATGATCATAACAAGTTTTGAAGAATATTTTCACCGTGGTTATAGAACAAAAGTTCTTATTAATGCTTGATCGATGAAGCAAGATCTGGTCCCATTGAGGCGACATTTTTTTATTTTTATCGTGGTATATGAAATGGGGTCGATATGCTTCTATTTTGTAACTCCGAAAATGAAAAGCATGGCTTATCAAAATTTTCAAGTGGCAGAGCTAGTTTGATAGTAGGCTAGGTTTGTCTCGTGTTCATAGCTGCGCACGTGAACAAAACAAAGAGCTGATAGCACATTGGTAAGACAGGGACCCAAGTACCAAAATTTACTTGTTCAAAAGGTAGTTTGAAAAAAAACAAACAAACAAACAAACGATTAGCATTTTATCGACAATATTTTATGAGTTATAAGTTTATCATGTTACAAGCGAAAACATATCTCTTGCCGAGAGAAAAAAGAAATGGGGTTCAGAAATTAAAAAAAAGGGAGGGGCGGAATTTTTAATTTTAGTACAGAGGAGGAATGGCTTATAGTTGGAAGGAAAAACAGGCTTACTAAGTTGGTGGGTTATCTAGAAGTGTATCAAATCTAAAGCTCAGAAGTTTAATATGTTAAATTATTCGCCAACTAGTTTGAGTCCAACTTTGAAGCAAGAGAAGCTTCTTTTGGCAATTTATTGTAGTTTAATTGAATTGGTTGGATAACTAGACCAAAATCTGCAATCTTATGACTTTGTTTGAATTTTAATCCTCACGTGGGCTTTTCTTGGTGATTGTATTCCTTTTTAAAGTTATACCATTTTTTTCTCTTGGATTCTAGTTTCAGTGGTCTACAAATGAAAAATCAATTTTGTTGTCTAAGAGGTAACTTCGTAGATTTTGAGAATTAAATCCATCTAAACTGACATGTCCTCTATCTGTGGACTTTTACCATTCTCCGAATACAATTTGACATGTGGTTTCCTACAAAAATTGCAGGCATCATAAAATTATATTTCACGTTCCGTTTTTCTAAGTAGATATAAGAAACGCTTAATCTGAGTATTTTTATGTCGAAGATCGTCTAATAATCTACTTCGTCTTGAGTAAATTATATTCATAAATCAAAAGAAAGATCTCAATATAATTTTTTTTTTTTTTAATTCAATACGCTTCTATATGCTTTTTGATTAGTTTGAGTGGTACCATATATAGTTTTGTTTATGTTAAATAACAAGAAAAGAGAAGAACATGTTAAATAACAAGAAAAGAGAAAAACATTGAAATAATCTGTTTGTATTAATCTGATGAGAGATGTACAATATATAAACAAACTAATGGGCTAAGCCCAAACCTAATATAATCAGACCTAATACAAAAGCCTAATGAAATAAGGAAATCCTATTTACAATATAATTCTAATACTTCTCCTCAAGCTGGAGCGTATAGGTCATATGACCAAGCTTGTTACATATAAACTCTATTCGAGGACCCCTCAAAGATTTTGTAAACACATATGCTAATTGCTCATTAGAGGGTACAAAGCTAGTTTTAATTTCACCAGTAAGAATCTTTTCTCGAACAAAGTGACAATCTATTCTTACATGCTTGGTTCTTTCATGAAACACTGGATTTGATGAAATGTGTAGAGCTGCTTGATTATCACAAATGAGAGTTGCCTGTCCAGTGTCTCCAAACTTAAGCTCTTTGAGAAGCTGTTTAAGCCAGATGAGCTCGCAAGTAGTAGTCGCCATGGAGCGGTATTCTGCTTCAGCACTTGATCTGACAACTACGCTTTGTTTCTTACTTTTCTAGGAAATCAAGTTGCCTCCAACAAAGACACAATACCCATAAGTAGATCTCCTATCAGCTGGACAACCAGCCCAATCAGCATCACAATACCCAACAACTTTATCATGATGTTTATCTTCATATTCAAGGCCTTTTCCTGGAGATGCCTTGATATACTTAAGAATACGAATGACTGCATTCCAATGTTCTTGACATGGAGAATTGAGAAATTGACTGACAACACTAACTGCAAAGGAAATATCAGGCCGAGTGACTGTGAGGTAGTTCAATTTTCCAACCAATCTTCTATACTGCTCAGGATCTGAAAAGGGCTCCCCGTGATTTGGTAGAAGCTTGATACTTGGATCCATAGGAGTATCAACAGACTTTGAATTCAACAGAGCAGTTTCTTCAAGAATATCCAGAGCATATTTCCTCTGAGATATCACAACACCAGCTTTAGATTAAGCCACCTCGATTCCCAAGAAGTATCGAAGTTTCCCAAGATCCTTAGTCTGAAAATGATAACATAAATGTTGCTTCAATTAAGTGATCCCATGTCGATCACTGCCTGTGATGACAATATCATCCACATATACCACTAGATAAATAGATCCAGAAGCAGAATGACGATAAAAGAGAGAATGATCAACTGCACTCCGAGTCATGCAAATTGTTGAACAACACTGCTAAATTTACCAAACCAAGCTCTTGGAGATTGTTTGAGGCCACAGAGAGACTAACGAAGACGACAAACAAGACCTGACTCCCCCTGAGTAACAAATCCAAGAGGTTGCTCCATATAAATTTCTTCCTCAAGATCACTATGAAGAAAATCATTCTTGATATCCAGTTAGTAGAGAGGCCAATGGCGAATAGCAGCCATGGCAATAAAAAGGAGAACAATGGACATCTTCGCCACAGGAGAAAAAGTATCAATAAAATCCAAGCCAAAGACTTGAGTGAAACCCTTCGCCACCAAGCGAGCTTTAAGACGATCCACTTGACCATCAGGTCCAACCTTAACAGCATAAATCCATCGGCAACCAACCACATATTTTCCAGAAGGAAGAGGCACCAGATCCCATGTACCATTATGATGAAGAGCACTCATTTCATTAATCATAGCTTGTCTCCATTCCGAATGTGAAAGTGCATCACTTGTAGTCTTAGGAATAGATACAAAGGACAAAGAGGAAAGGCAAGCAAAATGTGATGAAGAAAGACGATGGTAACTAATATTGACTGTATACCTGGCCGGAGGGCGAGTATCACGAGTACCCTTACGAAGAGCAATGTGAAGGTCACTATCCGAAGGTGGGACCGAAGCCGTGGGAGGAGATGCAGTTGAATGTGAGTCCATAGATACATCTGATGAACTATGCTCGATCTCATCAACAGAGGAGGTGATGGAAGGAGAGTCAGAAACATGGACGGGTAAAGACGGAAGGTAAAGAAGGTCACCTGGGAAGGATGACTGTACAGAATCAGTGTCCACAGGAGTAGTAGAGGATCCAAAAAAGGGAACTGATTCAAAAAAAGAGACATCCGCCGAGATAAAGTATCGACGTAAAGTGGGAGAGTAGCAACGGTAACCCTTTTGAGACCGAGGATAACCCAGAAAAACATATTTATGAGACTTGGGAGCTAATTTATCCAAACCTGGACCAAGATGATGAATAAAACACGTAGAACCAAACACATGTGGAGTTAAAGGATATAAAGCTTGATGGGGAAATAAAATAGAGTGAGGTACCTTATGATTGAGAACAGATGATGGCATGCGATTAATGAGATAGCATGCAATAAGTATAACATCACCCCAGAATGTGTATGGAACATTGCCATCAATTAACAAGGCACGAGTGGTTTCAACCAGATGGCGATTCTTGCTATCGGCTACATCAATTAACAAGGGGGAGTATTCATCATAGGAGGTGCTGGTGACATAGAGGGCTTAGAGGGAATTCTAAGCAAGGTAGACATCACGAAATTCAGTGTAGGAACTGTAGCAGATCGCAAAATTTGATCCCGATTGGCAGACAAATGGTCAGGTACACCATATAAAATGAACAGCATAAACAGTGTATTACGATGTTCCTGTTCCTTAGTAACATCATCAGGGAGAGGCAGAAGTTCATTAAGGTCATGAAGTAAACTCTGAGCTTTCCCCAAATATTCAGTCATAGGACAATTGAAGTCCGATGAGCAAAGGTAGTCATCAATTTCTGACACACCATAGAGTCTTTGTGTGTCATTGGTGTATAGTGCTTTTGCTTGATTCCAAATAGCTTCACAGGTATTAGGAGGTCGAAAAATCTGCTTAATTGACGGATGAAGAGTAGCTTTAATGAGACTACATAACTGAGCATCAATCATCTTCCAGAGTGTGCGCTCCGTGGCCGTCACAGATTCAGCCTTAGTGGTGAGATGAGATGTATAATTTTGTCCTTCCAACAAAAGGCGCAGATCGGATGACCAAGTATCATAGTTGGATCCATCCAATTTATCCACACTCAACGGAGCAAGGATATAATTTGAAAAAATAGCAGAGTCTGTTTTTTTCTCAGCCGGAGTACCAGAAACATTGGAGACAAGAGAGTCCATAATCAAGAGAAAAAATAATCAAAAAAGGACAGATCACACAACTAACCGGTAGAAGAGGGATCTGTACGTCAACACAAAACGAAGT